TASAAAAATAAATTTTTTTAATTTTTGTAAAGATCTATTTATTTTATGAGGAACGATGTATTAAATTGTCAAGCCTAAGCTATAATAATTGATCAGTTATAACATTTTGATTTCATACGTTTATTAAAAACAGAATATGACAATTTAAGTCACGGTGACATTTTTCAAATTTCTATGATTTAAAACTTTCTAAGTTAAAAAAAAAATAAAATCTTAATTTGCATAAATATCTAAGTTTATCCAAAATTAAACTTCAAATGTTCATACAAATTTTATTAGGTATACACTCAACTTTTTTTTAATTCCACTATGAACAACTTGTGAAGATAGTTGTATTACATTTTCAAACTTTTTAACAGTGTCTTTTTTTGTATCGAAATTTATAGAAGAAAAACTAAAAAATTGAAAATTTGAAATGTCTATATCTAGGAATAYATAWAATAGCTCAATAAGAGTAAAAAATATCTTAAAAATTATATCTTTTATGAAAAATGCTAGTATTGTACAAAGTATTAAGAGGACGCCACACCCGCATGTGTTGTCTCCGTCGTACAAGTGCGTAGCATAGTAAATTTTACGCTCAGCAGATCACGTTTATCTCMATTAATTTAAAATTTAGAGTGAATTGACTTATTATAAAAATTAAAGGCATGATTATTACCGAGGGMATCTCATAGGCTTTTTATTATATTTTAATTKTAAACCGAGTTATGAGTATTTTTAGATATAAAAATAATTTACAATTTTAAAATAGTCATAACTCAGTTTAAAATTAAAATATAATAAAAAGCCTATGAGATTCCCTCGGTAATAATCATGCCTTTAATTTTTATAATAAGTCAATTCACTCTAAATTTTAAATTAACGGAGATAAACGTGATCTGCTGAGCGTAAAATTTGCTATGCTACGCACTTGTACGACGGAGACAACACATGYGGGTGTGGCGTYCTCTTAATGCTAGTTTATGACGTATTCCAAATACAACAAGATAAAATAATTAATTTTATCAAAAACTGGTTTTGCATTATTAAAAAGTAAAAATTACCGTTTTTCTCAATTATTAAGAAATTAGTASTTAAGTTATTTTTCACTTTGGACTCCTCAAATTACCAACTAAATCCACTTTTCTGCCAGAAAATATATTTAAGTTGAAGATTGATACATTTTTACTACTAATAAAGATGGTAAAACTGATGATAGACGAAAAAACAATACATGATTGTAAAATCATTCATCACTCCGCTCATAAACTATAAATTCTTTATTTATAATTATAATTTATGGAGAAAAACATCAAAACTAGCTCAATCAGTTAAGTAATTATTTTATTTAGAATACTGACAAAGTTAAATGTAATAATTGCTACTTGTCAATGTCTAATGAACTATTTATWATTTTTGTGTTTATAATTTAACAAATTTTAATTTTAWCATCATAAATGAATCTAACAATAATGCAGTATTATAGTTGAATAACTTAAAAAACATACTGAAAATTGAATAAATAAAAAAAAACGTGCAGTTCAATATTCCGTAGATTAATACGGTACACAATTATTTTTATTTAAATATTAACAGAAAAAAAATKCATTTAATTTTAATTGTCAATGAAACTACATTTTTGGAACCGTTTTAGCGTTCCATTTTTATATAAAACGTAATACGAAGAGTTTATTAGGGTCTGTTTCCGTATTAGTACAAAACGAGGATCCGAAACGTAGACTGAACTTTGTGATGTTACAATGATTACTCTGCACATTTTGGCATTTAATCTGCCASTAACTTCTAATACAAAGAATGTAGCTGGTATTTGTGATTGTGCATACTGCGTATCACATAGATTTTGAAATATGTACCATATGCAATAGTATATGCGTGTTTTGTTGTAAAAGAAATTATAATGTATCATTTTTAAAACAGTTGAAATATTTATCTTAATTTATTAACAATAAGAATTTACTCCAATGAAAGTACAATTTAAATTAAACAACATTTTGTTAAAATTTTTAAAACTGTGGAGTGCGGATATCAATAATGGAGATAAAATGTTTTATGTAATATTATGCACCTACTAGTATAGTTAATTCTTTCCATTGATACCTAGCTATTTTTTAAATAGTTAAAATATATAATATGATAAATTGCATAATTAAGTAGACAATACTAGACATACAGTGTTTGATGAGCTAAAACTGTATCGAGCATTCCGTAGTTAATTAAATTCATATTAATAGTTCTTAATAATTCAATATAAAAAAAACTTTTTAACCATATTCGTTGCATCAAATAATTACTTTTAAAAAATAACAATAGATTGGAAACTTTAGTATTAACTTACTTCTAAAACTTAAAACTTATTCAACTTATTTAATGTATGTAAATATATTTGATTTAATAACTAAATATCATCAAGGCTGCAACGAACTTTAAATCGATTGATTTATTGCGGTTGGTATAATATTATTACTTAACTATCATATTAAAACCTCCAAAATACCATTATAAAACCAATATATTCMTCGTCATCACACATATAATATGAAATATTATAAATATTATAATATATTAATAATATATTGATAAAATTATAATAAAAATAAATAAATAGTTTTTATTTTCAGTATTTTAAAACCAGCACATTCATATCTTGGCATCAAATTTAAAAAATAAACAAAAAGTTAGGGCAACAAAGGGGTACACTGGATAATGTACACTTTACGTACTACCYTATTTGAAAATAATAGTTGACAATATCAATGCGCCAAGAAAATTTCTCCGAGAACATTCTCGAAAGTCCGTTTTTAGAAATTCTTTCAAAATTCTATTAAGTATCTAAATAAAACTAAATAAGATTCCAATTATGTCAGATTAAAACCGAAAAAACTCAATATTCAATTGGAATGATAATATTGATTAGTTAAAATAATTGAAATTTATAAACTTGATAATATTGTATCATAGGTAACAAAATTTGTGAAATTTAATCCAATAATTATGGCAGATTTAATATGAGAAGTATTTAAAACTAATACAACAGGGTTTCGTTATTTTTTATTCCATAAAAGTATTTAAACCCACTTCACTAGATAATATTATAAAAATGTATTCATTCGGATCTAATTAGTTTATGACTTTCAGAGTGTTATGAATTATGCTTGTGAATTTATAATCCAACACTCGAATCTGTGATAGATATAATTATATTTAACTAATTGTAAGTTCTTACAAGACATATTATACATTATTTCATTAAATTTCAGTAAATTCATTTTCAAATTACAAAATTAAGATTTGGATAACATTATTAGTATGAAAACCCTTAATCGATAAATTAATCATTATCTTAAAATCAGTAATTATATATTATAGCGTACTTTATTTCTTCATTGTTTCGTTAGCTTAAAAACAATTATTTTCTATTATAAAAATTGTATATTAGAAGAACAGTTAATAACCAGATATTTTTTAGAATTTATGTAATTTATTTAAATTTAAATACAAAATAAATGCATTRAAATAAAAATGATTAAGCATTCATAAGAATACAATTAGCAAATACATACGAGATATAGAGAATATAAAATGTTTCTATTTTAAAATGTAAGCCATTTTTTTTTTAAACTAAAATAAATTTGTTTATATTGTATTAGGTATGTGTTTCATTCGAAATAAGTAAACCAATTTCTATAACAAAAATAGAGAGGTCTAGGGTGTGGAAATTCTAAATTATATTATTACTATAGCGAACACCTATAAGTAATGTAATTTTATCTATGTATTGGCTTTCATACAAAACTGGTCCTTTTAAAATTCTCTTTACATTACTGAACACATTGCCCCAATCGTTATACATATCTAATATTTTATATTATACCTACCTACTACTTTAATGATCACACGATTTCGTAATACAATTTAGTATAGTTTTCTTAAAAAAGTATAAAGTTTTTCTTTTTAGATTTAAAATTTTTATTTAGAAAATAAATTAGATTTATATATATAATATATATATGATATACAAAAAAATGTAAACTTTTGATCGGTTTTTTAATTGTTATTTACTATCTATATTTTAAAACGTTCAGTGATAACTAATAATCATTGATGTAGAAAACACTTCATTATTTTTATAGTTTTTTTTAAAAAGTTGTTTATTATTTAAATAACATATAAACGAGTGTCCATAGGTATTTACCGATTAATATTTTATATTGATTTCCAACACGGTTATAACCATGATTTCCAATAATGGTATCAGACTATCTGAATATTTTATTATTATATAATAATCGGATGAAAAATATTGGTAATATATTTTTATAATGTTTATCTATTCGACATAGAAGATGGAAATGTAATTTATGTTTAATTTAATTGGTTAGGTTATATCTACTGCGCACCGGAATATTATCTAGATGTCAGGATTTCCGGAATTTCGTAGTCGTAGTGAATATGAGTTACACCCTATTCAGTAATTCGATTTAACCGTTTCGATGTCGTCGACGTAAGTTTAAGTTTATAATAAATGGGGATTCACAAATGAAATACGTTTAACTGTTTTAAATTTAAAATTTTACGTAAAATATGCACCTAAATGTCGTCGTTAATGTTAATCCTCGAGAAGGTTAGGTTCTACCCCCCTCCTCACCTTTTCAAAACATCCTTTTGATTCTTTTCAATAAATAACCAAGTCAATACCACTAAAACGTTAATAATATTTTTTAAAAATTACTATCTATTTCTTGGTACTACTACTACTACTACTACTACTATACTGCTGATTTTATTATACTACCACCACTACTTCTACTACAACTACTTTTTTTGTGTTATTATCTTATCACTGGACTCGAGGGAGTATTAATTTTGCTTTACTTTCTCGTACTACTACTACTTCTACTGTTCATGATAACGATACTATAATGTTTGTGGTAATACCATTTCTACTCCTAYYAGCATTATACACCTATAGGTATGAAATATAGCGGAATTTTGTGTACCTCGGATGAACTGTGAACAGACGAAGAACACGGCCATCAGCAGTCCAACGGAAGTGTTCATGTTTTCACTGCTGCCTTTGGCACTTGTACGGTGGTCGCAATCGTCTCCGTTGTCCTCGCAGTAATTTTAATAGCTGAAGTGAAAAAGACTATATTGGCCTTTTGCATTTTCGTTCACGCGTCCCGCGTAACGCAGCACTTCATATCGTCCAAAACAATACGTCGCGCCCGCTGCCGTTGCCGCCAGCTTAGTCACCGCGCAAAAACACGGTTACCAGTTACCAGAGGTGGTGAGGGAGTGGACGAGTAGGCCGAAAAAGACCGCGTGCGCTCTTCTTACCGCCGCGACGCGTCACGTCCTCTTGACGTGATAGTGGCGGTGATGGCGGTGGTGATGATGGTTRTGATAATCACCGCAGCACCGGCAGCAACAGCAGTAGACGTGCCCGTTGCCGTCATCTCGAGACAACTACGAGACGCGCGGATCAGAAGCGGCCGTGTTCCGGACGGCGGTCCGGCGACGGCGGCAATCGTCGTGCACCGATTCCGACGACGGGGACGCGGACCGCGAGCATGACGGGGGAGACCACCTGCACCACCGGCCGACGGTGGACCGTGGGAAACCAATTTCGAAGACGACTACAACGACAGTAGAAAAACACAACGATTATGCCAACGACTATGACCGCTGTGATGGTCCGAGAAAAAAAAAACGATAACGAATACCGAACGCGCAAAACGAAAACTAAAAAATATTTTGCTCAGTGTTTCTGCAGAAAACGAACGTCACGCACACCACACACAATACTGCTGCTGCGTGTACTACAGACCCTCAACGTGTGCGCGCGCGTGTGTATGTGTGTTTTTGTTTGTACGTGTGTGTGTGTTGGGTGTGTGTATTACCGCTTATGTTGTGCGCGAGCGCGACACTGTGTGTGTTGTGTTATTGCGTGCGTGTGTGGGTGCGTAGTATAGCGCGAAACGATAGCGCGCTGCACGCCGGTTACCGGTGCTCGTATATATAATACGCGCGAGCGGGTGACCGACAGTGTTTGTGTGTGGGGCGCGGCGCTCGAGGCATGCGAAACGGGCGGCGGCCCCGGTATCGACCGTTGACGCCGCCGCCACCGCCACCACCGCGGTCGTCGTCGCGCGCGCGTTACGTTCGGACGTACGCAGCAGCGCCCTATGCGCCATCCCCATCGCAGCAACGGGAGCTCACCACCACCGGGTCCCGGCAGTGTGCGCGTCGCCGGTCGCCTCCTCCGCCGCCGCCGCCRCCACACAGCTTTTTGGGGCGTCGTCGAACGGGTGCAGCGTCGCGGACCGTTCGTACGCCACCCGCGCCCTTGGACGAGGGGAACGGGGCCGGTTAATCGAATCAACATTTTTATCCTTCGCTCCGGGAATGAACACGCCGTGTTTGCGGTCGTTTTGATGTAACGCCGCCGTATGAATGGATCGACGTACCCACCCATATAAATATATACRTGTATATAAATACGCGCGCGTATCCTCGCCACCGCCCACGATTCGAATACYCACACACAGGCGCGCGCTCGCGTCATCCCAACCAGACCAGTCCAATTTGAGCGCGGGCGCGCGCATGTAAGACCTCTCTTACCCTGCCTGCCTTTCAGGTTTCACCGCCCGTCACCAAATCGTCGAGAACCATGTACCGCGATACGCCGTATACGAGCATCCACATCGCGTACCGCTCGACTTATGCGGCGTGTCGATGGTGTGTGGCGACAAACGCGGAACGTGCGAGCTCACAATATAGCATGTAGTCATACAACGCGTGTACCCTGCAGTGCCCATCGTCGGAGCCACTTCGTGACGAATAGAAGCGACAGTGCCTACTCACAGCTACAGTTCGCTCAGTGACATAATAGATCGCATTATGCAGTCCACGCATCGCTTTTCATGGTATCATAACGTGAATTACAACGTGGGCGTGTCATTGTTGTATCACACATTAGCAAGCACCGAACACTTCTGTTTTCGTMCGTCCATCGATATATTTTGCTATAACACGTAATAGGTATAATGCGGTTAACGGATTGACGATCACGAAACGTTACCTTATACCACATGTTATATCGTATTTCAATATAGCATCGGTAGGTATACTATATACCTATACAGTGGTATACAATATCACAAGCGATTACTACGTTATATTGTACACCTGCAACACAACGACAGTAGGTAATATGAGGCATATATGTATAATAATCATGTGCGATGTTTATATCGGTTAGCGGTAAGCGAGCCGCTTTCATCCACTTTCTCCCCTCTACAAMATGATGTTTGTTCGCCCCTTGGAATGCTGTGCTAGATAAACCGTAAACAGCCTTTGAATAAACAGAGTGTTTCGCCGGAAAAAATCGTAAACAAAAAAGTTAAAATCATTGTTGTTGCTGGAGTTGTATAATAGTAGGTACTCTATAGGTAGTGTATACGTACAGTTGTTGTAGTGCTATAGTGCGCCATGCAGAACGATGAGATGTTATATACTTATATATTATGATATAAGTACTACAATCAACTGATTAAAAAAAAAGAAAAACAATAGACCTTTTGGTAGCAATGTTAATAATAAAAAAAAATTCACTCTTACTCTGTCTACACAACTTATGAACAATGGCGTTTTAAAAAGAACTGCTGAAATGCGGTTAGAAGTAAAATCGTTTTAAACAAAATCTACAGCATTTAAAAACAATAACACATATAATAATACCTACACGAATAATATAATACAAATACTAACCGTAAAAATAACAACGCTAACATTTTTCCGAACAAACTTAACCGAGTTCAATAAAATGCATTAACGTTTTTTTTTTTTTTTTTAAGCTAAAATAAGTATTTAGAAACAACTACATAATATTATTCATTTATTATTATGTTTAATAAGGATGCTTTGATAATAATATTAACTGTAAATAATATTTAATTTATAATAAATATATTAATTTATAATATATGCAGACAAAGCACTGAATGTACTTCGGTATAATTTAAACTTTTAATTACCTACCTACCTACTATATAGGTATATAGGGGCGTAACACGTTTCCATCAAAAGTAGACCTTTCCTTTTTCCACCAATACCCGTTTCCACCAAAGGTGTATCTTTCACTTTTCCACCAATATCCGTTACCACCAAATGAGATCTACCTATAATTAAACCACGACTAATTTACCAAAATAATTTGTACACTTCGCTTATATTAAAATCTTTAATACATCAGTCATAAGTTTATTTAAAATACTAATGTTGGATTGAAAAAATGATATATTAGTATATTTAGTTATGTATATATTGTATCCAGTTGAAAGCCAAGAGGGGGGGGGGGTGTTACAGGTTTAATAACACCCCCCTCAGCAGTGGTATACTTAATATTTTTTTATCAAGATAATGATGCATCATAAGCACGAATTATCTTAAATCGTGATTTACACTTATTTATCAAAATTAAGTATATTAGTTTATATTACGATAACAATAATGTAAAKCACTAAAGCCGGKAACCGGCATTAATTACTAATTTAGACAGTTCTGTTACGTTTTATCGATTACTCGTTTCATGCACGATTTAATATATCTTTTTATGCAGCGTATAAGAAAACGTTTACAACTCCTTAATTATTGATTATTTGATTATCATGATGAACTATCRTATACCTACGTAAAGTTATCAATTTTGTGTTTATAATTTTTTCAATTAATTTTGAATAACACCCCCCTCCCCCCTTAGAAATTTCTAGCTACGCGCCTGATTGTATCTACTTATATATTGTAAAATTGGTTGATATTTTTTTTTCAATCGTATAGAATATAGTAGTATACAATAATAAATTGTTTTTGTAAAAACGTGGTAAATAATTTTATTTGGTGGAAACGGATATTGGTGTAAAAGGGAAAGGTACACTTTTGGTGGAAACGGGCATCGCCCGTATATAGGTATCTTGAAATACTTGAAATCCCAGTCAATTGAACGCATGAAATCAACAGACCGATTGTGAATATTAATAAAACACTTGTATATTTATTTATTCCTCTATATTTGAAAAGTAAACGTATTTATCCAGCTATTTAATAATTTATAAATATATGTTATATTATTACATAACTATACCTACATATTAGTTTCTGAACGAAGTGATGAATGTATTGATTTTACAATGATGTATTTTTTTTTTTGTATCTGTGTACAGCATAACTAGTCGAAATAATGCTTCAATTTCAAACTTTGGGGGTGGTTTTCGATTTAAAAGTGAAAATCCTTGGTGCATCATAGAGGTCAAAAGTAAACATTTTCCAACAGTTTTCAAAAAAATCGAGAAAACAAAAAAAAAATGACAGAAAAACGGGAATTTTTACGCAAAACCAGTTTTCAACCAAATTGATTTTTTTATATGGTTATAATTAAAAAACTAATCACTATAAATACTTGAAATTTTCACCAAATGTTTATGTTAGTG